CATAACAAACAACATGCCAAAAACCGAGCACACTTCACAACTCACTGCATCGGTGTCTCAGGGAGAAAGGGAAACCAAGACGACAGTGTTTGTCGCCTGGACGTTCGTAGCTAGCAAATGCTTCACACACAACGCAATTGACAAACTCCAAGAAGGAAGCCTGAGGATCTTAGCTGCAATTATTCAACAGAATCGTTCCAATAATTACGAGATGGAATGAAGGGAAGCTTGTCAGGAGAACGATGAAGGAACTGACTCACCCCAAAGAACAAGCAAAAGCTTAGGACCTTCCAAACAGCTCTTACAGTGCAATCTGCTCATTCCAGTTGGACGGTTATGACTTGACAAAAGAAAAGATGCAGATGAAGCAATCTCAGCAGATGTTTCTCCTTCCCGTGCCTGCTTGGAAGCCATAACAGACATGGGAGGGCAGCTTGATGCCATTGCTGCCCGTCCCTTCTTGATGGGCACTTTTACCATCTTCTCTCCCAGAGGACAAACCAGAGTGCTCTGCATATAACCATTTCAGATTATGCGCAAGTCGGTAAGGCTCTGTCAAAATAGAAGTTCAAATAAACTCAGGAGAATAGTAGAATAGAGAGTGGGACAGAATAGGATTTTGGAGGCAGGGGCAGCACATTGTGCTCAACAATCCTATCACTGCAACAACTGCTGAAGCACTTTTCCAAAGAAAGTGGAAACAAAATACAAGAGCGACAGCAAGATAGGGTACCTGCCTAGTGACTGCGTGGTGCACACGTAGATTCACTAATCCACAGGTTAAGAATTCAAACGCCGTTTCATACAAGGCCATTACCTTCTACCAAGTTGAAAAAGAACAGCACAATCGAATAGAAACTCGAGCAGGACCACTGCAGCACACATGTTGTCCAACTCGGTGCAGTCAAGGATAAGTAATGGGACAGGGTAGGCAGACCGAACAAGGGTGAATAGACCTCCGCTCAGACTACATTACAAACGAGGATGAAATTTCCAACCGATTGCAGAGAAACCTCTCTCTCTCTATCTATCTATCTATATATCTATCTATCTATCTATCTATCTATCTATCTATCTATCTATCTATCTCGCGCGCGCACGCGTGCCCTCCCCCCCCAACCACCCCAACAACAACCGCCCACAAACATGCAGATACACAACATCCTTGCAAGGTCATCCCGACACCTTGTTGCATGGTCATCCCGACACCTTGCATTTCTGCTCCAAGTCCTCGAACTCCTTGCAATCTTCCAAATGAACAAGTGGTCCATCAATTCCAAAAGGGATAAAAGATCTTGCAAACGATGGCGACGAGAGCTTAAAGAGCCAGACCTCCAAACCCAACACTGTCCCAAGTCTAACACTGTGGATCCCCTCTCCACCCTCACAATCCTCTGCTGCAGAAATTCTCAGACTATCTTCCACTGACATCAACCTATCTTACTAATTACATCATCCGGGAAGTGTGAGCTAATTTGAAACATTGGAGATACACAAAAGAGGCAGAAAGAGGCAGAATCCAAGCAAGTGCCAATCACAAAACAGTGAGTTCAAATTGGAACACTAACACAAACAAACAGAATCACCAGATCTGTCAGTCCAACCCTAGCGTCAGGATCTCACATCTTTTCCTCATAGTGTGGCATCTTCATGTTTTTTTTATTTGTCTTTCTCTACGCCACCACGGGAGGAAAGTATCCCGCAACAGTCCCACCCTGAAAAGTTATCCCCCTTGATGCTGAACCCACTATCACGGAAGTATGTGAGGCTTTTGCACTGTCCAGAGCGAGCCCGACCCTTGCATAATCCACAGCAAGGCGCAGCCCACAGTTTGGTCATGGGCCTCCTGCCCAAACTGGCTGCCTGAAGTCTGAAGACAGCACAGACTTGATATCTTGCTTTCTATTTTCCCAAATACAACTCAACTCAACTCCACTGCACTGCAACTGCTCAGGGTATGCCCAAAACACAACTTCATACGTGGTATCCCCAAAGAGAACTCCCTAGTAGCACAACCATTCTCAAATACAGCTGTCTAGTACCTTGGGGGGGGGGGGTTACAGTAGCACTGTGCAGAGCACACACCATGGCTACCATTTGGACACCCGGACCAGAGTCCGTAGGGTGTGCTGCCCGTGGTCCGGAAGTCGGACATCCCCAGCACTGTCCAGAGTAATTGAAAATTACTATTTCGACTTGTTCAAAAAGAATTTACGAAATCTAGAAAGAAAAAAAAAAGCTGCGCAGCATCATAATACAAACAAGTTTTGGCTGAGGGTTACTCCGAAATTCAAAATGAAAACAAAAAGCAGATTTTTAGGGGACTTCCAGGCCTAGATCAGATCTGGATGTCCAAACCCAGTCCCGACTGCTGTCCAGTATCCAGACAGACCCAGTGTTTGGATACGCAGTAGCCATGATGATAGACACATTTGGACATGCGCGCGCGTGCTCCGAGCATAGCGCATCTCCATAGATGTCAAGACAAAGGCCCACAATCCGATTGGCCTCTTCTCTTTACAGCTATTTCAATTGGTTCTTAGAGGGCGAGAGAGACATGCTAGCAAGGCTTACCGAACCATTCCTGTTGTGGCACCGTGCAAGGACAATGAACATGGGCATCATAGGATGCCCTTCGCGGACTACAGAACCACCATTCTCCGGCAAGCAAGCAGCCGAAGATCCTCCACCAGCTCTCCCTTGCCCTTGTGAATTTCCCACAGGCATGGCAACGTTTCCCCTTCGCCAATTACCACCATCAGATGACACTGGCCCATTTGGACACGTGCTTCTTAGCAGCACATTACTCCCAGATGACGTCGCACCTCGAACAGCACCCCCATTTACACAACTCCTATCCTCCTCCACTCTGGGTCGAGCAATGCAAGAGATCACATTCACAGTGACTTTCGCAGGGAAAGACCTGAGTCAAGTCCGTCAGACAACACCGGAATAAGAAAAAGAATAACAAAATGGTCACAGGCAAAATTGAAACACACAACAAGGTTTACCCTCCGAAAAGAACCACAGGCCAACAGATGTGCACCTCCCCACATCTAGTAAGCTGCTGCCCTACCGCACGCTATATCGTTATTCTTCATTCTGTTCCACCCACACAAAGCATCTTTCCCAGCCTCCTTCACTTCAATCTTACCTTTCAAAAGGGCAACGGCCTTCAGATATCATCATCATCGAACTGGTCGGCCTTAGGTAATTCCGAACGGTAGTATTTTACTCATCTGTTTCCAGTGGAGTTCGAACTCGGGTCTGTATTTCAACAGTTCAGGGGTGTACCAAATGAGCTAGGTCAGTTGGGACTTCATTTCAATCTTCATTATTATCAGTCGTCAATCCACCATGTTCATGGCATCAAGTTGAAGACTTGGGAAGTGAGACTGCACAACCCCATGAGCCACAGACCACCTCACCAAGCTACAAGACATGACAGATGACTCAAGAAACAAGGAACGCAAGCATTCATGGGAGCACAGGGAGCAACAGCATGAGCGAGAGAAGATGCCAAGTAAGAGGATCGTGCACAATGACCATCACAAAAGCCTTCATCATCAGAACACCACGCATGCATCGTACTGGCAAAAGAATTACAACTTGCACTGCTTGCAAATGTGGAATTCGTGTCTGCAAGACAAAGTGGTTGGACCGGAGTGGATGCGATACTCATCCGACAAGCATGCTTCACCATCGAAGACGTAACTTGTTGAGACACAGACGATCAAATGGCCACAATATCCACAACCTTTACCGAGGCATACACAACTGCGCAGCCAAGCCCAGACCCAGGCGAGAAACCCAGGCTAACAACCCCAGCCATCTTCCATGACTGGCTGCATTGTTCTTGCCTTCAGATTCTTACATGCAATTCAATTCCTGCTTGAGATTCAGTGCAAACACCTTGGGAAAAACGGACTTTATAATAGTCCATGCTCTCCCTCCAAGCCCTATCTAGGCTACGCTTAACTGAGGCAAAAACAACTCGACTACGAACAAAGTGATCACACTTCCATTCCTAATGCATTGGTTCGCTGCACTCTACCCCACCTTAGAAAGGCACTCGGCTCTGTTCACCTCTATTCTAACACAGTGCAGATATCATGCCGAGAACAATAGAGACAGGTTATTGAACAAAGATGGCAAAAATGCATCAAACAACAAACAATATATATATTTTAAACATTCCTGCTATCACCATCCACCCAATCCGTCTCCATCACCAAGCCCGCACCACTTTCGTCCTCTCTCTCTCTCTATCTCTCTCTCTGACACACACACACACACACACACACACACACATGTATGCGTCCACACATGCAGCTCATTCATGAATAATACAGACACATACTAGTGCAATAGTACAGGGGAAGATGAAATCTACCGTCTGTCTTTCACCTCCCGCTTGTAACTCAAGGTCCTTTGAAGAAACATTGGCTGCAGACAACATGACGAGCATCGACGACCACAAAAGTTAAGTACCAGGCATACAAAAGCAATGGGGATATCCTCATAGATTGAATAACACAAGGGAATGGGTAAACTATATTTACTACTTCCCCCCCCCCCTTTAATTGGGCCGTAAGATCCCATGCAGGAAAGGGACTCGGGACTTCCAGGAGGGGCTGCAGTCACAAAGAACAATGTCTTTGGGAGTGCTATACATAGTGGGGAATGTTCCTCGCTCTGCAATTTTTGCATTGCTTTTACAAATTCCTTCCGTAAGGGTTTGCTGACCAGCTTCCTGTCTCGAAATATCTCAAAAAGACAATTTCAGAACTCCATGCTAAAGAATATTTCAGCACTTCTGCTTCAGTACGACGAGAACTTCCCACAAAATTAAGAAATCAATTCTGTTTCCAATTAAAGAAAGCGGTAGTGAGGACACAGCCTCTGAAGGACACCAAGTGGTCAGATCACTCTGAAAAGATTTAAGAGGTCCTCGGGACATCCGTTAAAATTGGAACGATGCAGAGATGATTGGCATGGCCCCTGCGCAAGGATGGCACCCATTTTTCTTGGGCCACGAGGCCAGAACCCAAAAGAAAACCACATCCGTTGACAATTACAAAAGATCCTTCGTTTGATCTGAAAGCTGAAAGATGGATCCAACTATCAAAAAGACTGGAGCAAGTATTCAGTAAGAACAAGATGACCAGACAAAGACGTAACTCTAAATTGTCGGGTGTTATGTGCCTGTACTGTGGGTGTTATGTGCCTCTACTCGGGCCGAATCGTTGATAAAATATATCGATGTCGGGCAACTGGACATCGATATATTTTATCAACGGCGCGCCTTCGAAATTCTAGGAGAGGCTCAATCGGAACTCTCAACTTGGCTGGGCCATGTACTGGTGCTTTAAACCACCAGTCCATCCGAGCCTTTTTTTTATGAGACGGATTCCCACTGGCGCACCAAGCAGCGTTTTGGTTCTAGTTTTGGCTGGCGCCACCAGCCATTTCGGTCCAGTTGCCCCAAGCCTCCGATTTTTTCGGATAGGCTCAGTCGTGATTCCCGACTTGGCTGGGGCCATGTGCTGGTGTTTTAAACTTGAGCCACCACCACTCGTCCCTGAAAATTGTGGTGGTATGCATGGGCCCCACAGGTACCACTGGATTATGTGATGGCCTTCACATACTTCTTTGTCTCCATCCCTATTTCAACTCCGTGATCTGTTTGTCAAGACTGACACATATACGAGTGTGTGCCACTGGACCATGAGTCAGGCGGGTACACTGGATGCAGGATATCACATATAAGTCAGGTGGGTCCCTTTGTACCCACACATCGCCCAGGAAGAGCGCTGCAGAGCCAATGGTACAAGGCCGGGCAAGTACACCATTTAACGATTCGGCCCGAGTAGAACACACCGCCCCATTGTCGCTGCATCTAAATACAGCTGCAATGACCGTGCATTCTATTTCAGTGAAGACGATTGCAAGGGTGGGCGAGTCTCCTCAACGTAGAGCTATATTTTCCAGTCTGACAAGATAAGCCAGTACTGCAAAAGCTCCTACAAGACCACCCAAGTAGCCGTAGGCGAGGATGGGCGAGTCTCGTCAACATAGAGCGATATTTTCAACGGTCTGACAAGATAAGCCAGTACCAGAAACGTTTCTACTGGTATCGCCACTACACCGCAGCCCCCGTAAGATTCTAACACGACTTCTAGCTCATCGATTCTACCGTGTTTCAGCAGGCTGGCCAAGTGATTCCTACTTCCTATGATGCTGTGCGTTCACCACATTGGACTCTGTGGTTAACGCAATACTTACTGAAGCTGAGTTGGTCACTTCAGTCCAGCATGCTGCCTTGGATGTGGCGCAGACTTGGATGTGGTAGAGAGACCACCTCCAACTTCAAGTGTGCACGGGCAGGGTGTCATCATAAGCCACCAGGGTAGGGAGATTTGAGAGCCTCAGGAAGAAGATTTTGCTGTCTTTGTCCTAACAAGACCCGCCCTGATCGTGAATGTATACAAGCTAACTGTCACTGTCATGACCAAGGTGCATGATGTTCACAGGAAAAAACATCACGGAAAGAGGGTGGCGTTGGAGGGGGGGGGGGGGGGGGGGGGGGNGGGGAGGAGAAACAGTTAAACCACCACTACCTCCAATCCTGTTTTTGCCAACCCTGAATTTCACTGCGCACCGAGTTCTGTCGAGCCTCGGTTCCAACACATTTATTTCATGGTACTCCGACGAGATGAAGAAAAAAAAAAAGTAGCAACAATGTGCCCAGCCGTGGAGCCAGTTGTTGGGTACCAGTGATACTATGCCCTCAGCAAGGACATTGATCGCGGCAGTACATGTCGGGGGGGGGGGGGGGGGGGCATATAAAAATAGCAAGAACACTATGGACACAAAAACGGTCAGATACAGAAAATCGAGTTGAGGTGAGATTATGCGTCAGGAGTCCGTGTGCAGAGCCCTGCCTTGCTGGCAGGGCACCCAACAGAACGAACGAAGAAAAAAAAAAACACAAAAAACAAAAGTTGAACCTGGCTGTCAGTTCTGCTCAGATCCATTCGCGGGTAAGTGGTGGTGTGAGCACACCTGCTTCACAGCGTTCCCCGACGTCGTTCCTCCCACTGCAGTTGCTTCCTTTTTTTTTTTCCCCTTTTGCAAGCGGGCCCACAAGGCCCAAGCATTTCCTTGCTGCCGACCCTCCACTAGACCACCGAAAAATGCGGTGTGACGTATATTCCCTTTTTTCCCAACAGTGAGTAAGGTAGTGGCAGTTTAAGTGGAGTAAAGCCTTTCACAGCATTCTCTTGAAAGGGACACTGACTACTTCTGCAAACTTTACATTGTAGTGCAGAGGAAGAATTCCAGGGAGTGGGAATAGGATAGCAAGACGGGGATTTGAGCCCGACTGTGTCTTGAACTCGTCTTTTCTTCGTGATGATCTCTTGCTGAGGTTAAACCCTTCTCTTTCCACTTATGTGTTGTGAGTGCAATTTGCAATGCACTCCGCAAACCCTCTCCAGCTCAGGCACTCATCAGGGGCCGTTGCCCTTCTGAATGTAGACAAGCTACCATTCCGGTCAGATACAATCGCAATAAGGGTGTGTCGTGTTCGGGAAAAGAAGGTGGGAAGCTGCTGGACGGCTGCCCGATAGCCCTCTGTTAAGTGCGTCGGGAAGCGGGAGAGGAGGCAAAAGTTGAGCCAGTGGGCAGCTGCCTACAGCCTCTGTGACAGACGAAAAAAAGGTGAAACCGTGAAGGACAAAAACAACCCCTTTATCATGTTCGAAAGCACGACACTAGCGCAGTTAGAATGCACGTGGGCCTCTGTACAGGCAGGTGCAGATCATGCACTTGGACAGCATCCGGGTCCGAGCCACTTTTTTTTTTCTTTTGCAAACCCTCACTGGGGTATTTATGGACATAACTTCTGCCCAGGAAAAAGGATAGAAATGGCAAGTTAATTATATACATAGACTTTGCCCCAGGAAAAAGGACTGGCAAGTGCACATCGATGTCTAGTCTGTTCAATGCGTTGATGTCATACTGTCGAAAGTATAAAGTGGAGTGCATCTTTCCATGACCACTCCATAGGGTTTCTAGTGTATCACTCCAGTTTTTATAGGGTTTAATAGTGTATCACTCCAGTTTTTATAGGGTTTAAAGGTTTAAGTGTATCAATCCAGTTGTTATAGGGGTTTACATGGCCACTTTGAAACCCAGAACGAGAACACGGTCAACTCGCCAAATATAGAAAACACAAAAACTGGAGTGAATCTTTCCACCTTCTGGATGAGGATACATCGCCACTTCACATTGTTGGACTGGACAGCAGTGCAGAGATGCCAAGAACCGACTGCCAATGCATTAAGGTGCAAACCCCCTAATATTACCTCGCCAATGCACTTTCCTGGATGTACCTGACCGGAATTCCATCTTGGCCTGGATGTACCTGACCGGAATTCCATTTTGAGCTGGATGTATCTGAAGTCAATATTGACCTTGATGTATTTGACCGCAATTACGTCCAGAGGTCAGTCCAAAACGTCCTTATGCGAGTACGCCCTGCCCTAACTGTCCACGGCATCAAAAGGGAAACGGCAGCGATATAAAATGGACCGTCCTAATCGTTCCTTGAATTCAGGGCATCGTTCCACAACTTGCCAAATGTGGAGACAGGGAGTGCATCTTGGAGGAGAACGCGACCTGATACATTCACCATTTTCGCATTTGACAAGTAGTGGAACTAGGCCCTTCATGTGTTACCCTCCGGCCAATTTGGTTCGGCAATGAAATAAACGGACGCTCAGCATCACTCGTAGATTGAGGGCATACTCGCACCAGAACTATTTCAACTTATCTCTGGACGTAATTGCAGCCAGATGCATACCGGACCGGTCGTAATTGCAGCCAGATACATCGCAGGAAAGTCCTCCTCTGAGTGTGTCCTCTATCTCTGCTACCCAACGAGCAATTTCGGTCGGCAACAATTAAAATGACCACACTTTTCTGATACTAAATAAATTTCTTTCAAGATCTGTTACCCAGCGGTCAAGGGCCTCGCTTGCTCCAATCCTCGCTAGAAACAATCCTCACTCCAATACTCACCAAATGTGCAAAAAATGAGAATACTAGAACATGGAAAGTAGTGGTACACCATCATATTTTTTGTCTTTTGTGCATCTGGAGTGTAGTGGAGCGAGGCCCCAAGTCTGTTATAGTGCAACCCAGATGCATTCCACGCAAATAGCAGCATATACCCATGGGGAACAGAAATTAAAAAAAAAAAAAAAGGACCATTTTCCGACTTATGCTTGTCATCCTCGAGCAGGGGCCCTCCTAATCTTCTCTGCATCGTTTCAATTTTAACAGATGTCCCGTCGGGGCTAGCTCAGTAGGTTTCATCTTGACCTGAGTGGCACTGACTACCGTCTTCCCCCGAACATAACGCACCCTGATCATGAATGTAT